TGTTTTTTAATATAACTCCGATTGTATTCGTCTGAAAGAAGAATGTCAATACACCTAGGATGCCTTCAAGGTGAGTAAATCATGGGGTAATTTTCATTTTTGGGTGAACTATCCCTTTAATCAACTTACCTCTGTCCCATGACAGTTTTCCTGCATTACTCGTCTGCTACTATGTCCGAAGTAGAACCGTTTCCTTCCAATCACGAGCTAGCCGCTGCAACTCAAGCCACCGGCTCGAAGACGCCGTCTTCTTAAGCCACCGGCTCTAAGGCATAGCCTCGCAAACCAACGGAGAAAAAGCGCCTCCTTCTCGGCCAAGTGAAGGAACTTCATCTTCATCCAGGCCCAGCTCCCTGTGAACGAAGAGAAACAGCAGACCATCAGCAAGCCGGGGCCGTGCCCCAGACTCCGCCCTTACAGATCCTGTACTGCCTCACTCCTCGGCTCAATCAGATGCCGCAGCTCCTTCAGGCACCACGCTGCCTGCTGCATCGCACGCTAACATATCCCATCACCCCTTTTCTACCCTTCCTGCTTCTTTTAAACTAGTGTGAGGATGCCTCCACTAGCCACTCAAGCCCAGCTACCCTACCACTTCCCTTCTGCAACCTCTGCTCCCCTTCTCTCTCAGTGGCCGGCAGCCCCCACCGTAGTCGCCGGCTCAGGACAATACCAGCCAGTGATGCAAGCTAACTGGCCTCCTCCCTCATTTCCTTCGACTTCTTCTTACTCCCTACCTCAAGCTCCAGGGGCTAGTGCAAGCGCGAGGCTGCCTCCGCATTCAGTCACGGCCCCTATTTCCCTCCCTTCCTGCTCTGTTCTCCATTCTAACACTCAGTTCACTTTACTATCTGCAACATCGCTTCCTGCCCCACCGAACGCCATCGCTTCAGAACCACCCCTGGTGACCCACAACATCAGATCTCAGATCCTCGCAGGTGCAGATATCGATCTCTCATCTCTGCGTTCTCTCCTCCTGTCACCAAATCCAATCGGCAAATGGATTGAAGGGATTTCTCCATTACTCTAAAAAAAAAACCCCAGCTCCTAACTCATCTCGCATCCTCTCATTCTCTATTAATCACTATCGGTTTTAGCTGCTATATGTACGTAATTTGCTCAGTTTAGACAGCGCAAACTTAACGATTATCTGGCCATAGTCGCAGAACTCACGCTGTCCTACGGAGGAATTAATTTCTACACATATCACACAAATTATTCTCTGCTAAATGCGCAGTTCACGTGGCCCAGTGAAATCAGTGCCCCTACTGGGACGCTGGACCCTGATCTCCACAGCAGAGTGTTTTTAAGATGTCGTAATATACCATGCGCACTCTGCAGGTCGCTAGCCCACTCCACTACTTCTTGTCCTCAAGTTAATCCCGCTATCCCTGCCTGCCAAGACACAGCCCAACCCAAATCCACCAGCTACGTCCCACGCTCTGCAACCATTAATGCAGATCCGGACTCTAAGGGAAGATCAAGGCCTCCCTTCTCGGTCGCTGGACAGGTCTGTCACAATTTCAACGTGGGGAAATGCAGCAGACAATGTTGTAAGTTTCTTCATGCCTGTAGTTATTGCGGCGGAGCTCATGCCCGTCTGGTATGCCCAGTCTACAAAGCTGTCAATAAAAAAAAAAAAAACTATCTATCGACTCCAGTCAATATTTCTTGGCTATCCACAGAATTATCCCACCACCCAGACACTAACTTCACTAATTATCTTCTTTCTGGTCTCTAAGAAGGTTTTAATCCTGGCGTCATATGCACTCTCTCCCAGAACATAATTTGCGACAATCTCCAATCTGCACTTGCAGAACCAGATGTAGTGACTAATCTGATAAAAAAAGAAATCGATTCCGGTTTCATGATCGGCCCTTTCGATGTGCCCCCTTTCGAGTTTTTTCGCATCAGCCCCATCGGCGTAGCCACTAGGAAATTTTCGGGGGGGAAAACGCTTGATTATCGATCTATCAGCTCCACGAACTTCCCTATTTTCCAGCATAAACATTCCCCTTGAGGAATATTCCTTGCACTACCACGATATTGCTCAAGCGATCACCATGATAAAAAAACATAGGTCGCAGTGCATGGCTGGCCAAAGTAGACATCACTTCTGCTTTCAAGGTGATGCCTATCCACCCAGACTCATGGCATCTATTCAGGATTCGCGGGCAAGGGAATCTTTATTTCTCAGTATGCCTAACTTTTGGATGCAAAAACAGCCCCAAAATTTTCGATATGTTATCAGAAGACATTTGCTGGATTCTCTCTAACAATTACTCCATTCACCACGTCATTCACCTGCTCGACAATTTCCTAATCATCTCACCTCCCGATGCTATCCCAGCAGCAAATATCTTGACGGTCCAAAAAGTTTTTGCCGAGCTGGGGATTCCCATCGCTCGGGAGAAAACTGTCAAATTTCAGGCCTCTCTGCCAAAATAAAAATATTGACAGAATAATTTTAGCTGCTTCCGCCTTAGTAGAAATCCAAAATTGTTCTAAACGCGAGCTTCGATCTCTGCTCGGTCACCTCAATTTCGCAATGCGCATAATTCCCCAAGGCTGACCCTTCATCTTGCATCTCCTCACACTCACATTGTGGGTTCAGGCTCTAGAAGACTAAATTACCTTAACTCACGCATGTCACCTCAAACTTCGCTTATGGATTACCTTCCTTAAACAATGGAATGGCTTATCTTTCTTTCACAATGATCTCGTTTATTACCCCAACGGTATTCAATTGTTCACTGATGCGGCCCCCTCCGTCAGTTTCGGGGGTTATCAAGGTCGTTGGTTCGCATCTCCTTGGCCCCCTCAGCTGCTAGACGCTCCTCAGTCCTCAGCACTGTTCGAGCTCTATTCTATGGTCGTCGCTGCCTTCCTGTGGGGGAAAGATTGGACGGCAAGCAGCATCTTAGTTCACTGCGATAACGAAGCAGCTGTCCACTGCATAAATAAAGGCCGTTCTCATTCCCCTGCCCTAATGCCACTCCTAAGGCGTCTAATTTGGATTTCAGCATGCGATCAGTTTATTATAACTGCTAAACACGTTCCTGGATCCGAAAATCAAATTGCTGACTCTCTTTATCGTTTTATGTTTCAGAGATTCAGAGCGCTGGTTACCTTAACACCTGTAAGAACCTCCAAGCCTGGTCTATCAAAGGTTATCTAAGCGGCATCCAATTTTTTCACAAATTAATCCCCGACGCCTCCTCTCCCGAAACAAACAATTCTCAAACATCGCTTTTGATCAAAGGAATTCAGCACTCTCATCCTCCAAGCCCAGACACTAGATAACCGATAACTTTAGGCATTCTTTCAAAATGTATCCATATTTTCCGCACAGGGTACCACTCACTTCATACCGCTCGTACACTTGACGCAATGTTCATACTGGCTTTTTTCGGTTTCCTGAGATGCTCGGAATTTACAATAACTTCTAAATTCAACCCCAAACTCCATCCAACTGTCTCCGACCTTTCCTTGCTCGACAGCGAAACTATCTCCCATTTAATCAAACAAAGTAAGTCAGACCAGGAAAAAAGAGGTCACCACGCTTATATTTTCAACCTCCCATCACCAATTCAACCGTATCAGGCTCTTTTTTGTTACCTCCAATTCAGAAGCTCTCAGTCTACATCTCCTCTCGACCCTCTTTTTGTCGATGACTGTCTAAATTAAGTCGATTTAGTCGATGACTAAACACCCCGTCACACGTTTTTGGTTTCAAAAACATCTAAAACGAATTCTCATCCAATCAGGCATACCCGCAGAAAGATTTTCCAGCCACTCCTTCTGAATCGGGGCAGCAACCACAGCAGCTCAAAAAGGCCTCTCACAGCAGCAGATCCAAGCTCTCGGTCGATGGTCATCGGACGCCTTCAAGAGCTACATCAGGACCAATCATTTTCACATAAAGAAAGGCCATCTAACCCTGATCAGTTAAAAGAAAAAGAAATTCCATTTAGCAACGGACAGGGCTTTCCCTTCCGGTGCAGCAGAGCCGCAGCTCCCTTCGGTTGCAGTGAGAGCCCTCCATGCGCCATTTCGAGCCCCATTGCTTTTTTAGCATCAGACAGGGCTTTCCCTTCCAGTGCAGCAGAGCCACAGCTCCCTTCGGTTGCAGTGAGAGCCCTCCATCCGTCATTTTGATTCTCATTGCTTATTCAGTATCAGTCAAGGCTCTCCCTTCCGGTGCAGCAGGGTCGCAGTGAGAGCCCTCCATTCGACGCATCAAACCACGCCACATATACAGCTGCAAGAGCGACTCTCCCTTCCGGTGCAGCAGAGCCGCAGCTCTATCCGGTCACAGTGAGAGCCCTCCATCTGACACATCAAACCACGCCACATATACAGCTGCAAGAGCGACTCTCCCTTCCGGTGCAGCAGAGCCGCAGCTCTATCCGGTCACAGTGAGAGCCCTCCATCTGACACATCAAACCACGCCACATATACAGCTGCAAGAGCGACTCTCCCTTCCGGTGCAGCAGAGCAGCAGCTCCCTTCAGATGCAGCGAGAGTCCCTCACTTGGTCTTCCATCGTGCTCCTCATTTGGCGGCATGTAGGGCTCACGGTCCGACACGGCAAGCCGCAGCACCCGTCGAGCTCCGCACGAGCCCTTCCAGTCGCCCTACCTTCTTCTTACAAACTCTAACCCATCTCTCTTCACGGCACGCATATTTTTGGGTGGCTACTAACAAAAATGTTACTCTCCGGCTGTTGTCTCTTGCCTATTAGCTTCTTTTGGGGAGTTCTCTGGGTTCAGGCTCTCTCCCGAGCTTGGAGCCCTCCCTCTGGACAGCATGCTAAATATGCTTACTAATTGCTCAATCCAATTACATGTTGGTGCGAACTTGTGAAACACAATACAATTATAACATATATGCTTACGTTTTAATTCCTTTGGGTTCACAGACTTGAACTGAAGCTCAATAATGATGTCCACCCATCAATTAATATGTCATTTCAAATCATAACTTGAAGACCCCAAAAAAATCAATTTTCTATTCTGTGTGGATGTATTTCCTATAGCAGCATGATGTGGGCCACATTTATAAGTGATAATAAATTATATTTATTATAACTTAACTTACTAAACTAAAATAATGCATTTACCTAGTTGCCAAGGGAACATTTTTCATATAATTTGACGATGTACTAAAATAACTAAAACTGTCCCAAAAAAACTTTTGAAATCCTTAAATTACACAATTTCATTTAAAGTTACTGAAAACAGAAAATATAAAAT